CCACTTGCCAACTTAAAATATATTCATGCCGACCATAGACAGTTTATAAACGTGTAATGGACTTATTTATATCAAGGAAAACTTGGCATTTGCCTGCAACAGTTCAGATCTCGCCCTCGGTAATTTGTTTCCGGAGCGCCAAGACACCATCTACTGCACGTGACCACAGGCACAGTCTGGTACTGAGATGCACGTGACTGATGTTCGCCTGTGGCTGACCGGAAGGGAAGGGGGGCTGACCGGTGGGAGGGGGGCTGACCGGTGGGAGGGGGCTGACCGGCAGGGCGGCCGTGGGGAGACCGGTGGCGGGTAGGGATGATGACTGGTGAGAGAGAGAGAGAGAGAGAGAGAGAGAGAGAGAGAGAGAGAGAGAGAGAGAGAGAGAGAGAGAGAGAGAGACCAATGGCAAAAAAGGATGATGACTGGTGCTTGTGGTGACATGGTGGTGGCGGCAGTGTGTGTTTACTTGTGTGCGTGCGTATCATTTTTACCAAAAATGCAAATGTGGACCAAAAGTGTGCATCTGCATCGCCATGCACTTTACATTCCGCACTGAACAGGTGGTCAAAGTTCTTATTATCAGTTCCTTCACATCACACTCATGAGGTAGCTGCATGCATGCACTAGAACCTAATACATCATGACTATTCAGAAAGCAATGGTATTTAAAAATGGATTCCAACACGGTAAACCACGCAGTAGGCATCTAAGTTTCATAAAACGCTTATCGCTAGCGTGTGCTATGTTATGCTATGGAAGTTCCGATTGTGTGAGATGTCAGAACTCAGGACAGTACCCTTGTTCCCGTGGCATTACACAGGAAAGCACAGTGCCGTGCTTGGAATAAGAACAAGGTAGGTTGATTTCAATGCAACCGGTGGACGTTATCGTTTGCACACCCCATGTGGACAATGACATTCAACCTAGAACGAGGGGCGTAGCCTCGCGAGTGAGTGGTTGCCGTCGCCGCCTCGCCATATGCTATGTAAGAGATAGGCCCGAGTTGTAAAATAGATTCGGATATGAAGGTGGGGTAACCGTGATGTATTGTAATCTCTACTGGTATTACATATAGACTGGCATTATAATATATACTTATTATTATAATATCTTCATATAGACAGCGTCGCGGGTCGGGATGTTACCAGGTGTGGGAAGAGTGAGGGAGACAGAGACAGAGACAGAGACAGAGACAGAGACAGAGACAGAGACAGAGACAGAGGCAGAGAGAGAGCGAGAGCGAGAGAGAGAGATCAGGAAAAGAGAGATCAGAGAGAATGCAGAGGCTCTTTGGACTACAGATCGTTACAGATGCGTCATGGGGTAGTGAGGGGGCAGTGTTGCCGCCGCAGTCAGCCAGTTTGTCCATCACCAGACACCAGGCTGCGCGCAATCAGCTAATAGCCGGCGGACACAGCCCAGCTCGGCCGGCGTCAGTGATCCATGCGGGGTCGCTGCAGAGGCGCCACACACCCCGTGACCCATACAGGCGGGACTGGCACGGAATCACCCACCAACAGGTAGTAGGGGATTTAGGAGGTGACATTCAGCTGCTAAGGTAGGCGTTCGTAAAGGGTATGAACTTATGGAACTGCATTGTCGACGTTCCAGAATTTCAGGACTCAAAAATGTCCTTACAATACGCAAAGGCAAGACCTACAAATTCACTTCCCCGCTATTGGCTTCCCCTGCCACCTCAAAGCCTCTCCTTTGACAAAGTTTAATTACTGATGCTTACACAATAGCGCACAAGTCTGCTGAGACTCAAACGCATCTACAAAGATGATCAGTCTCACCCGTCCCACTCCCATCTTCCCCCCCCCCCCCACCCCCCATCCCATCCCAAACACACAAGTCTGTGAGCTCGCAGTTCGCACTGCTCACACTGCCAATCGCGACAAGGCAGCGACAAACAGCGTCGACTCAGCCCGTCAGCTCCCGCAGCTAGCGGAGAGGGAATGGGAATAGTTGAACGGCAATTCAGAGGTGGAGATAGGCGAGGCCGGATTCAATATTCCGTCGCCAAACTTTCGATATAGAAGGCTGGTGAGGCGACGCGGGCTTATTTTACTCTTTGGATATGCGACTACAAGAAAATTTATTCACGAAGCTGGAATATGCCAGGATGAAGTCCAGAGAAGAGTTAGAGATTCTAAATTACTTTCTGGTTTCTACACAACCAGCTTCAGAAGCTGGTGGCGCGTCATTACCACACAGAACAAACGCTAAAAGAACAACACAATATTTGGTTCAGCAGAGAACTAAACCCTGTTTCCGTATGCAAAGGAGGTAACTCTATCTGCCTTTTCCCGATAGAATACACATAGTGCTGCAACCCCTTTCAGTGATAATGGAGCCAATTATGACCAAAAAGCGCCAGCATTAACTCAATTGAGTGCACTTGCTTAGTAAAGTTTAAGTGCACCGTGTTTGGCAAAGCAGAAACAACTTTGGCGTTAGCGACACCATATTCAGTGGCTTATTAGTACAAGTGCGGCCCATTGCACTGCTGTTGCAATGTGCTGCAGGATGTTCGGTGCAGCACGAGGCAGGCAACTCAGTTAATTATCATTCAAGCGATTTCGATGGCTGATTAGACAATGGTTATAGGTTATATCATATTTCGACAAGTATACATAGCTAATCGGCATGCACGAGTTACGCTTATCGCAAGGTTACGTGGATATACATAGGTCAACAGCATGTAAGTCCAATTCTGAGAAAGCCTGTTCATAAGAACCTTTGCATCAAATGGTAGCTGCATATGTTTTTGTCTGTGTCTACATCTTGTTTTCTAATCTGCACCTATTTGCTAGACGAACAACGCGCACGACGTGAACGCTCTATCCTTCGCCCGAGTGGGGGGGGAGGGGGGTAGCTACGCCTGCGAGTTTTTTTTTTGCGTGTGTAAAACAAAACCGCGGTGCGCAGCGCCGCGAAACTTGGTTTAACTTATGATACATCAATTTCGCATCGTATGTAATTTTTTGGCACCGGGTCACATGAGATTAGGTCACCAGGTCAAGTTAAGTGACCATGCCTCTAAAAAGTTTGTGATTCATTCATTTCTACAGCTTACATCCCAGAAGTTTGAAACTCAGACTTTTGCATGAGGGAAGCAGTACCAACAATTTTTGATCTCGTAATTTTCGTATCGGTGACCTAAGGTCAGGTCAATTTTGTGACCTCTCCATTATAAGTCGATGGGAGAAAATTGAAATGCTCTTTCTTTTCGGCCGAAAACACTCAAACATCGGAACGCATGTGGATAAGGCAAACTGAATAGGAAAATTGCACGTTTTATGCCCCTCAGGTCATCTCAGGTCATGAAACGTAACTAGCAGTTTTGGCAATAACTTTACATAAAAACATGCCAGAGCGCTGAAAACACCATGAATGTGTTCAGTTAAACAACAAGAATCGAATGATATGCAATATGACCTTTTTCGTGACCTTGACCTGGGGTCAAATTTTTAAGTTGAATTTCTCATTCGAGCGTCTCGATGATACAAACGTGGTGCTGGTAAAATCAGCGTACTACAAGCTTGAAGTCAAAAGTGATTTCAGAAAAACTTGTTCCGCAAAAAAAGTCCAATTTTGAGAGTTTTTGCCCTTTTGAGGCTAATTTGTTGACCTTAGGTCAAATCTGAGAACAATATTCAGAAAGGTCTTTGAATGAACTATCGAATGCGCTGTTCCGCGCACGGCGCTGTAGCTCTATTGGTTCCTGACTTATGTGCTGCTTTGTGAAAAGTTGTCAAAATTGGGAACAAAAAGTCGCGATAATTTTACCTTTGGTGACCTCCAGTGACCTCAGCGATGCCTGATCGAAAAATGACCTTTATAATGTTGAAAGATCTTATAGCGGGCTATCTATTGCTTTTACCGCGTCTTTCTAGCTTGCTCATTTTCCGAGATAATGTGGTGTGGCCAAAAAGCTCCCCCCCCCACCTCCCACCATGGCAAAGCAGGCCGAGAGGCCCATCCCTGCGTGGGCTATGCAACTTGGGACACGACTGAATCAAAATCAGTGATAACTACACAAGAGAACATGAGCAATTGCTCAAATATATGCAACAAATTTCACTTAAAAAGCAACATTCTTAAATTAAAATTTGTCTTGAAGCACCCACAAATGCATGCTCATTAAAATGGTCCATTTGATATGGCATCATAAAAAGCCTTTTGGCCTTACAGACGCAATTCAGGCCAGCACGAGAAACGCTTTACTTAAATTTATCACAATTGTTACGGCACGCTTGCGAGCGTTTGACAGAAATATTTCCCAATTACTGCTAAAACAGTTAAATGGTTCGGCACGATAATCTAATAGAAGTGCACCTGGCGCCATAAGGAGTGCAGCCCCACTGCCATGACCCGAGAACGTTGCACCACAGGCCGGCAAAAGCTGCAACATTCGCTCACTGAAAGCAGACTAGCTTTCCATGCATTCTGAAGCGTATAAATGTCACATTACGGTATTATCGTTCAGCTATAGCTTCTGAGAGGACAAAAACAATAACTTCATAGAGCACACTAACATTCTCACACCGTTGGCTCACTGGTGTGGGACATCCCAAGCCGACCAAGCCCCACTAAGTTACACAGTTGATATGTGAAAGTGCACGCTTCTTGCGATAAGATCTGTGGATGAAATCGCTCCGACATGGAGCCTGCGATTTATGCCGCGATGAAACTCTGAGCAAAACTTTTTCTCAGTTTTGACTAAGTTTTGACGTCCTCTATCAATGGACTATGTCTGTTAGTGACATTATGAAATAAACAAAAGGGCATTTCTCATGCACAGCGAATGCCTGCTCATCCGTGACAAACAAAGTTCATTGGCGTACCATCGATATGCTCCTGTCTCCTCACCGAGATCCTAACAAGCTGGGCACACGTAGACCGCGTGCCATGGGAGGGCACACAAACCGTGTTCCTCCCACCCCTCCCCACCTGGCACCCGTCTTTGATCTGAGCGATCCCTCTTCAACACTCACCCTGGAGTCGACGTGACTGTCTCGGACCAGCGCGAAGCAGCTGAGTAGCGCCAGCTTCAGCTGCAGGTCGACAAAGTGCACCATGGCCAGTCCGCGGCGCCGCTGCCGAGAGGCGTACTGCTGGTAGCCACGCTCCAGACGCCGGCTCGAGAAGCCGTTGGTGACTGAGGGCATGTAGACCCCACACCAGGTGCGACTCCGCTGGGCGTCCTCCCAGGCGGCAGTCCAGCCGCCGCCGCCGCCTGTGAACAGAGGTGAGGTGAGGTCAGGTCAGCTCAGGTCATGTCAGCCTTGGCCTCCTCCCAGGCGGCAGTCCAGCCGCCGCCGCTGCCTGTGAACAGAGGTGAGGTGAGGTCAGGTCAGGTCAGGTCATGTCAGCCTTGGCCTCCTCCCAGGCGGCAGTCCAGTCGCTGCCGCCGCCGCCCGCAGGTAAAGGTCAGGTCAGGCTAGGTCAGAACAGGTCAGACAGGGTCAAACTATGCGGCAGTCCAGCCGCCACCGCCGTCTGCGGACAAAGGTGAGGGCATGGGCCTGCTTTGAGGCCAGGTCAGGGCAGGTCATATCAGGTCCAGCCGTTCACCCACCATTACCGTTTTGTACATGGCATGAAGGTCAGGTCAAGTCAGAAAAGAGGTTTATTAACCCTCTACTGCCGTCTCGACCCATCGCCTCTCAAGGCGATTAAGCTGTTGTCTATGCATTGCTGGCATTGCTACGCCTGCAACGAAGATCAGATCAGGCACCAATTAATGTGCCGTCACCCGCCATTGCTAAAGAAAGGCTGGCCTAGACTTGCTCTGAGTCAAGCTTCGTTAGGCAAGATCATGACCCTATCAATTTATAGCGGCATTATCATCTAAAGTTATACAAATCAGGTCACTGCATCAGTCTTGTCAGGTCAAGTGAATCTACGAGCCCTGCACTCATCCCTCACCGCCGTCCACAGACACACCTACACGTCTGCTTACGTAACCTCAGGTCAGCGAACTGACCCCGTCCCGGATAATGCTGGGGTCAGTCGCCGGGGCTCGCTGATCTGGCGTGCACGGGGATCGGCGTAAAATCGGCCATCTGTCCGCAGCCTGTCAGCCGATTCCCGGAGGGACGGTACCGGGACAGGGCGCACTTTGTTCGGACAGCGAGCGCCGTCAGACGTTACTAGAAGGCGGTATCTCAGAACTGCCGCCATAAAATTCAGTCAGTGAAGAATCGTCAGCCCTCTATCAGAATCACTGATGGCGCTCACGGGGGATTATAGCAGCGCGGTTGATATGGATACCGGCTGCGGCTGCGGCGGCGGTGGGCTCCCTGAGCCACTAGTGGTCCTCATTACCCTCCCGCAGCGGGCGCGGCACAACACTACCGACGGCCATCAGACGCTCCGGGCCGCCGCCGCCGACGAGCCAAACACGCCGTCACACGGGCAACTTCTCCCCGGGCGCCGCTCCACGCCGCACTTCTGGCCAGCCGCGCCACATTTGTCTCTCCCCCGCCCCCGCCCCCGCCCCGGGCGATCTGGTGGCGTCGCAGAGCCGGTCGTTTGTCCTACCGAGGATCAGCCGGGCCATCGAGACACGCGGACGAACAAATGAACCTCCGCTTTGGACTTCATTTTCTGCGCCACCGTGGCAGAGAGCACACATTTCGATGGAAATTGGCGGCAGATGCAGGGTCGGTTTTGGACGCTGGGCACGAATAAACCTACACACGGGCGTGGACACTTGCGTCAGTCCAAAAAAAAAAAAACATCAGACATTCCCGGCAGATGTAAAATAATTGCACGCAAGTGCACTTTACGAGTGAATTATACATAGCTAGCTGGGGAATACAGGCTGATCTAAGATGAAAAAGGAAGAGGCTTGCATCAGGCAGCATTAGAGATATAATCTTAGCATGCAGCGACGTTAATGCAACCAGAAAGGATTGTCGTTGGCTGTTACTGGCAAAGTGTCAATTGCAATAGCTACCTCGTTCCTATCTCGACCCCGACCCAGAACACAATGAACATGAATATGGGTTGAGCGATTCGGCATCCGAGATCAGAATTCAATTGGCGTTGAGATTGTCAGGGCACGTCCCACGGGGGCACGGGTGACGCTACTGTTCTTACAGCGAACTGGGCCTGGATCCAAACCAATCGGCACCGCCACGTCGCTACCGTGTTCCATAAATGCAGCCGACGCGCTGGGTCGGACTGGCCCAGCAGACTTGGACACCGGCGCTCGGCCCGTGACCTGCACGTGTTTGACGGTGACGGAGCCGGAGTGGGTTGGTGGGGAGCTGGTTGACAATCGCACTGGTCAGTGTCCCGAGGGTCCGGTGGACCCACGCGCCAGCCGCCAACCCTGAAAGACAACAACCAGTCCCGATAGCTTGCACACAGGAAGCCTTGATGGATACCAGGCAGCGCTGAAGTGATACTGCGTCTGTCGGCTATCCCTGACGTCAGCCAACCCTGATATACAGCAGCCAGCCTTAGGTGACACCACTGGGCTTACATTAGACCGCGACATAAGTCAGTCCTAAGAAATGACGGTCAGTTTGAGTGAGAGTTCAGCTCAGCCATCATAACTCGGGTGACAATCCAGAAGTTAGCACCGAGTTACCGCTCAGCAACCACTGCTGTGCGACAATCCGGCACCTCTGCCCTCGAGCGGCAGCCTGGCAACTATATGTATGTAGTTTCGGTTGACAACATGTCTCCGGCACAGGAGCTTGTGCCACTGAGACGTGCAGCAGGGGCTAAACACAGAAAGGTTTCGCGGGAAGAGCTGTCACGCCTACAGCTTTAGAGACACAGAAAAATGTTTAAGACATAAAAGATGTAGAATTAACAGGGCTGTAAAATGCTATCTTAGATTTTTTAAATTTTTGGATTTTGACCCCAAACAATCAAAAAAGTTTTTTAATATAATAGCCAAAAATCACAAAAGTTTTTTGAATTTCGAAAATCCCGGAAAGTATGTGATAGTCCCTACAACCTTCTATCCACATACCAAATTTAAGATCGACACATCTTTTGGGCCAAGTTATGGCGAAAAAAAATATGTTCAAAATTGATGACGTCAAATTTAATTTTCAAACTACATTTTAAGCCATTCTATACCACGTAGCGCAAAACAAAGACCATCAATAGACTCGCCGTGACGAGCTGCATCGAATCAATACCCATTTTATGCAAAACTGTCAACTTTAAAATTTGGCCTTTTTTGACCTGACATTTACCTGACCTCCACCAGAAAGTGACCTAAACCGTACCTAATGGTCTTATAACCAACACCAATGAGTTTGAAATGAACAAATGGCCATAAAACACGCATCGCACAACCCTAGTAAAGTTGGGTTCATGTGCTGACCCTTGGTGACCTGACCTGTGACCTGACCTGGTATTATCAGTGACCTCCAATAGCAGCATATGCACTAGGCAACTTACGCCCTATCGCTTATCTTTGACAAAATGCGTTTTACTCGATGTTATAGCCGCATTCCCTAGAAGACCCGTGAACGGTGAAACATTTTATCTTTGACCTGACCTGTGACGTCATCAATGACCCCGAGGTCAATCAAATTGGAGTTCCTTCAACAAATTTTACAGAGCTATCGAACGCCATTTGAGCTTTACGGATCCGTCCAGTAATTTCGGAGATACGTGGGGGAGGGGGAGATAATTCCCCCCCCCCCCCACCGCGCGGAAGGTAGCCGGGAGGCCCACCGCCTGCTGGGAGCGCGGTGCATGGGTAATAAATGATACTGTCACGTCAGCGTGCGGCCGTCATTGTGGGCTGAACATATTGCCAAATGGCATTTACCTACTGTTAGATAGATTCGAGCATCTGGTCCTGACACCATCTCAAAGTTTCGTAGGCGTCTGTGTTTTTACTGATGTGATCTGGGCTGCACCTACATACACATTGTATAAAAAAGGTATACACGTTTCAAACGCAACGGTTTGTCCCGTCAATGTGCACTGAGCAATAGTCTGTGTCTGTGACGCTACAATTCAACACTTCTACAGCCGTAACTTCTCCGCATTAAATGACGAAAGCGCCGCGACATTTTCATGGCTTGAGCAAGTTCACATCAAGTGATGAGCGTCAATCGGTACGGGTCGCCAAGCTGCAACTTGTCACTTGTCAGAACTATCGACCATTGTTTCTCTTTTGTGAATGTCATTTTCATTCGTCAACTGTCCACCCTCAAACAAGGGTTTGAGCGGTATTATTCTTCCCGAGATACCACTTATAAATAAAAGCGACGTCCATCTAGCTTCTCCATTGCGGTCAAGAAGTCATATTGCCCGAAACTTCCAGCCTGGAGAATCGACTTATGCATCAGGAATATCTTGAGGAACGAAAACTGTTTGTCCAGAGGCCAGTTTTACAAACAGAAAATAGCCGCCTGCCGGAATTTTTTGCCTAAAGACCGCTTCACATACGGAGCCTAAACGGTTAAGCCCTATCCGCTTACGTGCCCATCGCGTTTACGCTCCGTATGTGAAGCGGTCTTTAGGCAAAAAATTCCGGCGGGCGGCTATTTTCTGTTGGTAAACTGGCCTCTGATCCACTTTCCATTCTGAGTCATGGACATTGCGCAATGCTCTACTAAAAGTTCCTCTCGCGTGACGTTGAGAGCTTCTTATACCTCACGTTTCGCGAGTATTTTACTTGATATCGACGGGATGGACCTCGCATTTAAAGGTCACTGGCCGGCCTTAGTAGGCGGTGTTGCGGCAACAATAACATTCTACGAAGTGGTCCGGGCCGCGCCAGGTGGTCTCCGTTTTCCGCCCGAGGCTCCCGTTAGTCGGCGGCAATGCTCCTCCAGTGTCTCGTCCGTGCACTTTGGACGCTCACTTTCCTGAGGCCCGTCTCGGTCTCTCGGCGGCCGCGGCGCAATATTGGTCGGTAGTGGGGTGCTCGGCTTAGCTGAGTGTCTTGAGACGCTAATTGTTGGAATATTAGCGTCATTGGAGAAGCAAGACGCTCACTCAGGTTCGAATTGAGACGTTTCCACATCCGTAACATGCAAGAACCAGCTTGGCAAATTATGTGGTACGGGAATGTTGCAGACATGTGCTTGGATCCGAGAGCTGGATCTATGATCTCAGTGGATCTCTCGACAAAATAGAGGGGTTGGATCTATGATCCGAGTGGATCTCTCGACAAAATTCAGGGGTTGGATCTATGATCCGAATGGATCTCTTGACAAAATTTAGGGGTCGGATCTATGATCTCTGTGGATC